AATTGGTGGCTGACTAAATACTTTTTTGCCCCACTGTACATAAATAATATCAATAGGCTAAGAATCTGTGGTCTTTTCCCCAAAAGATGTCCATAATCTTGGAGACCAAAATCTCCTGGTTTAGTTTGTTAATGCCTAACAATACAAGCAGGTACCAAAAATATACTCTTCAAACTAAAAGAGGCACAGTGAATGCCCATTGGGAGTACTATATAATTGACACTTTTGGAAGGCCATGAAGGCTACTTAGATTGGAGAGGCCACATGGTGCAAATAACCCATGGAAATAAATCTTGTAAGCAGAAAAAAAGCTGTAACTAGAGAAGATAAGAAGGAAAACTATAAAAGGAAGATAAAAATATCTGAATTTTCCAATAAATTTAGTTAGTGCAAGCCTAGATATCTATTATTTTGATATGATTTCAGCTTCCAAAGCATGAATACCCATAAAAGTACAAACCATTATATAGGAAAAATTTTACATCACTTCTTACACACAACATCTGTATGTAAATACTGATATTTAATACTAATATTCTTTATTAATATAAATAAAATGTTATTTGAAGTACATTATTTCGGTACTGTAAAAACTACTTTCTTATGTGCTCTAAATTCATTCATTCAAAAATAAACTTAATCACAACAATAACAGCAACAACACTGCTTACCATCTCAGCTTTTATTTTCTTTGATTCTTCCATTTTTTTTTCAGTGTCTTCAGATTGGGAAGTCTGTTTTGGAACCTTTTCCATAACACCAGCTGGTCCTTTTTGTTTAACCAGTTCCTGGCTTTTTTGTGAAAGTACTTCACTAGTTTTTCCTGTGTCAGCTCTTTGCGATTTTGGGATTGTTTTTTCTGTTCCATTAATAGAGATTTCTCTTAAATCATCTCCTTTAACTTTCCCTTTTGACATTTTCTTGCCTTTCTTTGGTACCTCTTCCTCAACTGCTGAAGTAGGGAATTGCCAGTCTGGAATAGTTGGAGGTATTTCAGCAAGCTGAATCTTTGCCTTCTCAACTTCCTGCATTTTTAAAAAATTAAGTAGAATACATAACATTTCCTAACAACTTCATCAGGTTTCATAGTCCTTAAACTTGAAATTCTCAATACAGCATCCACAAAATGTGATGGCAATGACAGAGACATAATCCTCTCCTTCATGCTAAATCATATTGATTTTTTTTTTTAATAGCGTATTTTGCTTTTTACCTCTTGTTCCTTGCTGGGCCTTTGCTGCCAGATTTTCTTCTATTCTGATTGAATAATTAAGGATTGTCACTGCCTCCCTACCTTCTACCCAGAAGGAAAACAAAGAGCTGCATCCCAGATGACACTGGCCTCTCAGCACTATGGACCAAAATCCTCTCTATGCAAAGTTCACAAGTCCATCTTCTTCCAACCATCAGTTTTTCAGATAACACAGAGGGAAAGCTTCAGAGCCGCTGAAAGGTGGAACACCAAGCACATGTTCTCATCTCTTTGAGTCTCATTGCCACATACAAGGGACAAGATGAACACTCCCCAGCAAACTTCACAATAGCCTCAGGAACTTCCACCAACAATGGTGGAGTTCTCCAGACTTATGGTCTTGGGGAACTTTAATCTCCCTTCTCTGGGTGTGTGGCCTGAGGCAGCTCAGGAGTTCATAGCTACCATGACAGCCATGGGCCTATTCCAGGTCATCAATGGTCCAACATGGAACAATGCATATCACTGGCACTCAACAAGAGACCAAGAAAACTGGACATGGGTTAGAGCGGCTATTAAGGCCTACCTTGTGGTGGTAAGGGTGGTGAAGCAACAATACTTCTCTGCCCTTATTGTGTCTGCAGATAGCCATCCAGCGGCCTTGTTTCAGATGACACATGCCGTCTTGGGTAAGGGGTCTTGGAGATCCCCCTACAGGACCATGCAGAAGAATTTGCTCAGCATCTGTCAGACAGTCACTCAAATTCGTTCTCAGTGGATGCTGGCTTTGTTGCAGGTCCCGGGGAGATGCCCAAGGTGGAGTCTTGCCCTTTGTCTGGGAACGGTTTGAATCTGTTGGGCCTGAGGAAGTGGACAGGGTCCTTATGACTATGAGCTCAGCCACCTACTCTTTGGACCCATGCCCCCCCGGCTAACTAAAGTTGCATGGTGTCATGGCCAAGGACTCGGACTCTGAAAAAGCTGCTCCAGCTGAACCTGTGGAATGTCATCCTCAGGAGACACCAAGCCAGGAATCACCTGAGGCTGATCAAACATAGGCACCATCAGAATAGCTGGAGCACTCAGATGACAAGGCACGGCCCGCAAGCTCTCAGACACAGCGAGTAGAGCGCAGAGCAGAACAAAGACACTCAATGAGGCTCCTTGCCAAGCAGGGGAGTAACTAACCTAATTAAAGTTATCTGGCTGCAGCCTGATTTAAGAGGCAGCCCTGACCCATGTTTCTCTATTGGAAACAATCATCTTATCTCCTGCTCCAGAGTGTCATTCCTGTGAATCTTGCTCATGAAACTCTGACCTTTGGACTGGCTGACAAACCTGACTTGGCTCTCTGAACTTCTGACTGGATTTTGACTTCTCTTCTCCTCTTGTTGAAAACTAAACTACCCAGCCAAGAGACTTTGTTTGATTTACATTCCTTCACTTGTCTGCCATTATCTGCTCAGCCTTGAGTAAATTGCTTTTCTCATCTAGCAACTGTGTGTGCATGCGTAAGTTTGAGACCTGAAACAGGACACCCAGGGGGTGTCGTGTGGGTAGATTCCAGCAATGGTGAATTCTTCCTTGGGTAAGGGGATTGTTCCTCCACCTCTGGTTCACCCCCTCCTCAAGAAACCATCACTGGATCCCACCATAATGGAAAACTTTCATCCAGTATCTAACCTCCCCTTTTGGGGGAAGGTGGTTGAGAAGGTGGTCACGCAGCAGCTTCAAAGGATCTGGATGAAGCAGATTATCTGGACCCCTTTCAGTCAGGATTCAAGCCTGGGTATAGGACAGAAACAGCATTGGTTGTGCTTTTAGATGATCTCTGGTGACAGCAGGATGAAGGTTGTGTATCCAGCCTTGCTCTACGACCTCTCAGCGGCCTTCAATACCATCAACCATGGTATCCTTCCAGATCAGCTCTGGGGTTTGGGGGTGGGCAGCACAGTATTTTCTCTGGGATCAATACCAGAGATCCTGCCCCTGGCCCCTACTGTGTGGGGTGCTGCAGGGATCGGTGCTCTCTCTTCTCCTATTTAACATCTATATGAAGCTGCTAGGTGAGATCATCTGTTGCCATAGGAAACATCAGTATGCTGATGATACTCAATTATATATCTCCACACCTGGTGAATTGAGTGATGCTATTGATGTCCTATCCCAGTGCCTAGGGGCTGTGGGGGCCTGGATGGGGAACAACAAGCTTTGGCTGAACTCTGGCAAAACTAAATGGCTTTGGTTTTTAGGACCTTGTTTCTGGGACTTTGCCATCTAAGATACTGGATGGGGTTACACTGCCCCAGAACCAGTGCAAAACCTGGGGGTCCTCCTGGACTTGCAACTCGTGCTCAAGGAGCAGGTAGCAGTCATGGCTAGGAGCACTTTTGTACAGCTTCATGTTGTGCACCAGCTGCACCAATTTCTGGATTAGGAGGGTGTACTCGTGCCCTAGTCACTTTCTGAGTAGACTACTGTAATAAGATATACATGGGGCTGCCCCTGAAGAGTATTCATAAGCTTTAGCTGGTGCAAAATGTGGTGGTGTGCTCCAATGCACCTCTGCTCCACTAGCTGCATTGGTTGCTAATTTGCTTCCAAGTCCAATCCAAAGTGCCGTTTTTGACCTTTAAAGTCCTTCAGGGCATGGGGCCAGGTTATTTGAGGGACTGCCTCTTCCTGATTACATCTGCCTGTCCCATCAGGTCCAGTAGAAGAGGTATATTGTGGGTCCCATCTGTTAAGGAGTTACATTTGGCAGGACCCAGGAGATGGGCCTTTTCTGCCATGGCACCCACCCTGTGGAACATCATTTCCCCGAGGTGAGACTGGTCCCATCCTTGGCAGTCTTCCAGAAGTCCCTCAAAACACGGTTGTGTCAAGAGGCTTGGGGATCCCAAGGAACTGGAGAATTGTTGAGATGGCTACACTGTTTGTAATATTGAAGATGCTAACTTTTAGTCTTTTTTAACAATGTTGATGTTTTTTTATTATAGAATGTTTTAATGTTTCTCATCATGAACATCTATCACTCCAACTTACAGCTCAGAAGGATTCCAAAGACCTGCCAAATCGTCTCCAGTCCATCACAAAATCCACAAGCCATGACTAACATATTTTGCCAATTCCTATAGTCAGTCTTCCTAACTAGTCATAAGAATCAAGCCATGCCATGAAATAGCAGGGAAATAATGAGAGCTGAATTTCATATACTGATTTGAGTAAATTTTCATTTGACAATACAACTTAATATACGAGACCTAAACATGTGAATACATCTCTGACTAAAGGGACCAGAAGATTCTCCCCCAAAATACCTGTAATGCTTTCTGTAGCTTCTCTTCAAGCATTTTCTTCTCTTCCTGAAGTGACTGAATGTCTTCCTGCAATGTCAATATCAATTTACATTTATATTTAAATATTTAATTTATATTCAGATTGTAAATTTAAAGATTTGCCTTGCCCCTCCCTATTATAAAGATATATAAAAATTCACCAATACATCCCAGAGAATATAAATCAATTGGAGTGGGTTACCAACCAGTTGCTTTCTGAATTTTTAAAATCATATTTATCTGATATAAAATCAGAAAAAGTTGACTGAATGAATAAGCCCTCCTTCTGTGCTTCCAGTAATATGGTAATTAACCCATCTTTCTAAAACAATTTCTACCTGGGTCTTGGATTCTGTGTCCATTTTTCTTATTCTGAACTCACTACATTATTTTTCTTAAATGGCCTTAAAAATAATCTGATTAACAGAAACAGAACAAAATAATATTATAAAACTTAATGTCATACTTTTATATAGATTTTAAAGGAGATAGTGTGTCTACAAACAAAACATTTATTCACATATTTGTTCTTTACCTGAGCTTTAGTTAAATCTTCTTTCATTTTCAGATGTTCTCTCTGCTTTACAGAAACAGACTCTGGTTTCTGTGCCCTGTTATAAGAAAACACATTACAAATTAATAATTAGACCATCATGGCATAGCAACTAGACTACTTAAAGCTCAGAAGGAAATCACAGCTCACATAGTAATTTCTCAGTTTTCCTAGCATAAAAATACAAAAATGTCTTCAGATTATGCTTACCTAGAATGTGGCTTATATGGTTTGAACTTAGCGTATCATTTGAACCCAGGCATTATAGTTGGTAAACCATAGTTCATAGCTTTGCACATGTAAAACCCAATCTGTGTGTATTTTTTCTTCAAGATAAAAGCTGATTTGAATAAAGTGCAAAACGCTTTTCAAAATACAGACTACATTCTGTAACAGATTTTTAAAATGTTGTTCGGTATAGCTAATGCAAAACAGTCAAAACATAAAGTGCTGCTTGTTAACATATTTAAATCACTCAGAAATAATCAAGTGTATTTGCGAGTGCACATATTTACATTTAGAGAGAGACAGAAAGAGAAAGCTACAAAGCAACTAAGCTGTAGTTAGCAGAGGCCTAACTACAGCTTAGCAATTGTCATCCAGACAAGTATTTTCAGGAAATATTCTGAAATGTCTAATTTAATGCAGGGACTCTCAAAGGCCCACTGTCACATGCTTACAACTTGAAGCAGAGACTTATACATAATTCTGTGCTCAGAATAGACTTGCTAAATTAAGAACCCTCCTCCAAATGTGTGGAAATACTATTTTAGATTAAGAAGCCTTTTTGCTTTTCCATAAGATGAGTTGTGTTACAACACAAACAAAGGAGAAGATGTGACCTTATTTATTTTTTACACCTTTCAGTGCTTTTTAATGATACTGGCCATAGTATCAAGTCCTTTACAGCAGCTCACAACCAATAAAGCACGATTCTCATAAATTCTGAGCAGGCATGTTTATTGCAAGAAAAAAAGGGAGGGTCATAGAATCTTGAATACATGTATCTTACCAATAGAAGAGAATATGTGTAGCTCAGGGTTCAACTGTGGAATCCTTGGGGTTCTCTGAGCTTGGTTGTTTTCTTGCAAACTTTTCGTTACCTGGCTTGGTAATGTCTTCAGAGCTACAATGGACATTGGCATGCCCTGTCAATGTTGGTGGGGGTGTGGGTTTTGTTTTTTCCTCTGGTAGTTCCTTGATTAGGGTATTGTTTACTGCTTGA